TGCTTAATTGTTGGCTCATTTGTTCAAAATCCATAGCTCATTTCTAAACTAAATAAAAAAATAAAAATAATTAAGAAAAAAAATATTTTGTTTTTTAAAATCTTTTGCATCAGTTTTCTCTCCTTTAATTGAATCGGTGAAGAAATAATGTAAGAGACTGCTTAATTAATCGCTGGCTCTCTCAATTAATTTGAATTGCAAGGTATAGGAATCTTTCATTCTGAAATTTCTAAATAATCTTTGTTCTACCTTTCCAAATCATAGGAAAGTACTATGCATAATTGCATATTGTGGGTCATCGTTCCAAATTTGAGTTGTCCAAAGATTCATGATGTAACTTTTTAACTGCCTTTAGCGAAAGAAAGCAGCTCTGGGGTTGTAACTTTTTTTATATATATTTAATATGACTGTGTTTACATCAAAAATAAAAATTCACATGGATTATATAAGAACAATACAGATAGGTAAATGAAGGTTTAATTTATCCAAAAACTTATCTGACTCATCAACAAACAAACATAGCAAGTGCGATAACATTTAATATTGTTTCATTACTCAATAATTATGATATAATTTTCTCAATCTTGCCTTTGCAAATGGCTAGTGAGTACGTCGGTATTTTTATGCCTTTCACACAACTCATGATTATTAAGCTCAAGTTGAAGGTCAATCTAGAATAAGATGTTAACCCTAATTTATTTTTATAAAATAAATAAAAATAAAATTGTTTTGAAAAAGATTATTTAAAAAAAAATCAATGTATTTTTTAATCCGGTTTCACAACATCGCAGGTTAGCCTGGTTTCTAACTAGGTTACTCATGTTGCTCAATTTGGGTTTTGTAATAGTGGTATTATATCTAGGTTTTTGTAATGGTGGTATTAAATCTACCCTTCCTCTCTGTAGCTTTTCTACCTTCTCCTCAATTCTCACCCTCCTTATAGCTCTTCGCACCAGAATTATCTTAAATTCAGCAAGTAAATGCTTGACTGCATGCCTTAGAAATATCTATCATTTATTTTTCTTCCTTCTCAACCACTACTCCTTCACAATTAATGCCTGATTCTGTCTTGTTTTTCACTTGCCTGCTTACTTCTCACGCTCTAAATTGGTTACAGTAGGGAAATCATTTCCCTTTGCTTTCTAACCTTTGGGTTAGGGTTTACCTTTTAAAGGTACAAGATATTTTTCAAACGTATACAAATTATCTCTAACCAAGTGCTAGCTGCCAAAATTGGGTCATACAAACAAGTCCTACTACATATAAAATTACAAGAATCCATATCTCATCTCTATATTTTACAATGAAAAAAAAAACATTTCATAATATTGTGTTACAATCCATTATTTTTAGTCCCTGATCACAGTAGTCTCTTTTTCTTTCTTTCTTCTACTTTCGAACCATAAACTCCTTTTTCTTTCCTTTTTCATTAACAACATAATTAAATTAAATATAAAAAATTAAATTTTTCTGAGAATATAATTTTGAAAACACATTGAGAAATTGAAGGTAAAAAAGGGGTTATAACACCTTGCATGTCTTACATTGACTCGCTGACTCAGGAAATCTTCACGAGGGTGTAACTTTCTAGAATTTATAAACTGACAAGCTATGCCTCTGATATCATGGGTGGATCTAATGTAAGCTGTTTTCATGCTTAGCAAAGTTCAATAGCATTACAGAATAATATAATTTTTTTTTCCAAAATTTATATGATAGCTTAAGTATTTTGGTTAGAATAACTATTTATTATGAAATCAGAATTTTGATAATTAAATAATTATAAATTTAAATTTTAATATTTTTATTCTAATTAATAAAATTAAAAATAAGATAGTATTAAATCTAAAAAAAATATATTAAAAAAATTATATTAAAAAATAATATAAAATTATTTTTATAATTTTATCTAATAACTTAAACTTTTTAAATTTAAAATTCATTAAAAAATACATAACTAGTGTTGCATCACATCAGTCAAGAAATGTCACAACTAGCTTGTCGTGTTAATTAATTGCTTAAATATAGTACGTCCACAACATTATTCCATGAAAGCCTCACCGACCAATAACCTGTTTATCGTGCCCATTGGGTTTAAACTTACTAAGGGACTAGATGCATCATGAAGTTGGAAGTTCAACAGCTAGTGAACTCCCTTGGCCCCAGATTGTGCCATGGGGTTTCAGGAAGTCATGTTCTCTTTGTTTTTTTCTTTAGTCTAGTGGACGGAACGGGTCATAGCAAATCAAAAGTTCAGAATATCAGAAATCTGTTGCTTGTCTTTATTCTCCAATTTATATAGCCCATAAATTTATCAAAACTACCTGGTCTTGATTTTGATTGCTTTGTTCTTTTCAATATATTCTGGATGGTTATAAAAAAAAATGAATGAATTTGATTGCTATTATGTCCGTTTGTAATCAACCTTTTATCGTGGTCGAATGGTCCAAAGTATAGCTTTTCTTTGCTTAATGAATCCGTCGTGAATTGTCACAAACTGCCACATTGCAGGATGCGGACTCTCTGTATAATTGCTTCATGGTACATTTACGTGATCATGCAATGAAAGCTTAACCAACCAATAAACTGTTATCGTGCTCCTTAGGGTTGAATTTTCAAATGGACTTATGCATCATGAAGTTGGGATTTCTGCAGTTAGTATACTCACTTGGATTATTGGATATAGATTATGAAATGGTGTCTCATTATACAACTTGTTGCCCTGCTGCTACTTGTGGCTGATAATTTGTCAAGGCTTTGTAAACAATCTCAACTAGATTATTTTAAATCCCTGATAAGTACAATACATACATACATACATACATACATACATACATACATATATATATATATATATATATATATTACACTGTTTTTTAATGTATTTTAAGCTTATTAAAAGTTAATTTTTATGAATTTAGCATCTTAAGAGACTTTGTAAATTAATTAATTGCTAAAAGATAATAATTTTTATATTTTATGTTTCGGATCTTACTTCTTATGATAGGTTTTTCATCGTGTTATAATTTCAGAATGAGAACATGTGCCGAATCAAATTTAAAATATACATCAATTTTTTAGAAAGGTATTATGAAAAGAAATCTAAGTTTGTTTAAACCTCTAAATAGACCTACAAGATCAGATATGCGTTTACATTCAAGACTTCAACTTTTATGAAGGATACGAAATCATATGAAATTATTTTGAAGATGAAAATCTAGACACAATTTGAAAGACGAGATTTGTCTCCTAATCTAAAGAGAAAACTAATAATGCTGAGCATCCTACTATGGTTGACAGTCTAACATAGAAATAATAGGCCTTAAGATCCAAAAAAGATGCAAATCAATCATAAAACATTTCATGAATGAAATTAATGTATGCATGAACCCTGCAAGAAACAGTGTCAGGCATTAATGAGTTGATAATCTATTAAAGACAGTGACAGTAAGCCAATATGGGGAAGTGGGGGTATTGTTTAGACTTTGTAGTTGGCCTGCGCAATTTTTGCTGTTCAGATAAATTTTTCTTTAAAAAAAACAATTTAGAGGTTATTAATATTATTTTTAGTAGGGAAAAATCTGAAACATGCTATGTTGACCTGACATGACCGATCAACGTTTTAAAAGCAATAAAAATAATTGGTAAAAAAAATAATTTAATTAAAAAAATTAAGGGCAACATTCAAAAAAATATATTCTGAAAGTTAGTAATGCATAAAACTCTACTAAAAAATAACATACTAATTGGTCATATAGTAGCGAAAACCCACCTAGTCTATATAGAAAAAAAAAATGAAAGTAGAAAGATTAATTGAAATTCTAATATAGCTTGTAGGAAAATAAAGATAAATAAAAAACAGGATCTTCCAGGTCTAATTTCTAATTTGAAGGACTTTGTGATTTCAGTTAGTGCAAGTGAGCTATCCCAAAGAAAACATGGCCTCTGGTATTGGGAAATCTGATGGCCTCTGGTATTGGGAAATCTGATGGGTGATGTACTAATATTTGTTTATAGAAGGCCAAGCATACTGACACAATATTTAACATGGTTCAATAAATCGCTTACATCCACGGGACAATCAATATTATTAGAGATAGAAAAAAAACATAAAACAAATACATGGAGGAGGAGGATTACACCCATTTAAACTCAACTCTCGGCGCACACACTGCTGCATATTGCAGTAGGGCTGCTGGCTCTTCTCTTTCTTTCTTCTTCTCTTCACTTTACTCTCTACACTCTCTTAATTTTGCTCTCTGTAATTATGCTTTTTTTATAAACATCAAAAGTAGCTTCTCCAGCACATTTCTTGTCAAGTCGAGGGGACAAGAAAGTCACAAAATATGCCACCAATTATGGCACTAATGGTGCTTCCACTAAGTGGTGGGGTATTGCCACAAAATGACAATTTTCTAATAATCACCCCTTTTGCCATTTGTATGGGCAATTGTCTTCTTGCTTCTTTAACACAAGTTTGCATTCTGCAGCTCTTCCAAGCTTACCATTTTGAGAACGTCTGTGGCCAAGTTTACAGGTACTCGCCAAACCTTGCAATCACCCTTGCTCACACCAAAGGATCACTTCAACCAGATGGTCTCCCACATCACATCTAAAGAATGCTAACGCTTGTCTCTAAGATACAACATTCCCCTTCGAGCGTATCAACCATGCTCGGTCTGAAATGATTTATCAAGCCTCACACCAAGACTTACAACACCCCTTCAAAAGGAAATTTCTATTCACAAGTGCGACAACCATTATCTGAATATCTTAATATGATCACAAGCTCACCACTCTTCCAAGAGTTTACTCATCCAGGAGTTGCGTCTGCCCTCTGTTCCACCCTAGGAACTACGCCTTATTTCTCCGTGAGTCTCCCGCTCTTAGTTTTAAGAGTCCAGGTAGCTTTCTACCTTTAACCATGGGGGCAGCCCATTAAAGGTTAATCCATATCTGTTTTCATACTCTGAGTATTACAATGTCATGACCGAGCTCACCACCTTGACAAGAGTCAACTTGTTCCCGGAACCTGCGCATGCCCTCTGCTCCTTCATAGCAGTCGCGTCTTAATGCTCCACAAGTCATCCATTTATTGTCCAAGACAAATGTTTTCTAGCTCATTGATCTTTAGCATGGGGGCAATATCCATGAAAATCAATCTGACATTTGTCTCCATATTCATCATAGTCACTTTATTAGCTATTCATCTATCCACTTATATGTAGCCATCACATTGGCTCTAGGTCGCCATGTGGCGGTCTGATATTGGGCTCATTTTATGGCCCCCACACCTTCTCTTTAATGTGTCTTCACCTTTCATAGGCAGTCACATCCTCCTTTAGCTGGGATGTTTCAAAGTGGCTGCAAAAATTCTCTACCACTATATGGACCATGAGAGAGATCACTGTCACTGATAACATAGAAAAAGTGAGTTGCGGTACACTCCTCGCAATTGTTTATCTCGATTTCTATGTTTAAAGCTTTTACGTGTTTCTGCTTGATAGCTTCACCCCACCAACTCCCTTTGGTGTCTTTGCCTTTCATCACAGGCGGTGACACCCCTTTAATTTAAAATTTAAAATAAAAAATATTTTGTGTTTTAAAATCTTTTGCATAAGTTTTCTCTCCTTTAATTGAATCGGTGAAGAAATAATGCTTAATTAATTAATTGGAATTGCAAGGTAGAGGAATCTTTCATTTTGAAATTTCTAAATAATCTTTGTTCTACCTTTCCAAATCATAGGAAAGTACCATGCATATTGTGGGTCCTCGTTCCAAATTTGACTTTTCCAAAGATTCATGATGCATCTTTTTAACAGCCTTTAGCGCAAGAAAGCAGCTCTCAAGTTGTAACATCTCGGGAGGTTTTTTATTTTTTTATTTTATATGATTTTGTTTACATAAAAAAAAAATCACTTGTATAAGAACAATATGGAAATGAAGGTTTAATTTATCCAAAAACTTATCTGACTCATCAACAAACAAACATAGCAATTGCGATAATATTTAATATTGTTTCATTACTCAATAATCATAATGTTTTTCTCAATGTTGCCTTTGCAAATGGCTAGTGAGCATGTCGGTATTTTTACTCATGGCTATTAAGCTCAAGTCGACGGTCAATCTAGAGTAAGACATGAGTAATGAGAGTTAACCCATATGAGTTAATTCATGTTAATTTTAATTTATTTTTGTAAAATAAATAAAAAAATTATTTTGAAAAAGATTATTTAAAGAAAAATCAATGTATTTTTTGATTGGATTTCACCACGTCACAGCAGGTTAGCCTGGTTCCTAACTAGGTTACTCAAGTTGCCCAATTTGGGTTTTGTAATTGTGGTATTAAATCTACCATTTCTCTCTGTAGCTATTCTACCTTCTCCTCAATTCTCACCCTCCTTATAGCTCTTCGCACCAGAATTATCTTAAATTCAGCAAGTAAATGCTTGAGTGCATGCCTTAGAAATATCTATCATTTATTTTTCTTCCTTCTCAACCACTACTCCTTCACAATTAATGCCTGATTCTGTCTTGTTTTTCACTTGCCTGCTTACTTCTCACGCTCTAAATTGGTTACAGTAGGGAAATCATTTCCCTTTGCTTTCTAACCTTTGGGTTAGGGTTTACCTTTTAAAGGTACAAGAATAAAATTCACGCGATATGTTTCAAGCGCATACAAATTATCTCTAACCAAGTGCTAGCTGCTAAATTGGGTTACAAGTGTTAGGTTGGTTGCCATTTCATGTAAGGCACCAACCATTTACCATTGACTATTGGTAGCCACCATTGTTGAATGAGATAGAGTTGGTGGCCACCATTGTTGAATGAGCTAGAGTTGGTAGCCACCAATGTTGACAACAAACCAAGAAGAGCTTCCATGAATGCCTATAAATAGAGGCATATATGAGAGAGCAAAATGAGAGAGAGGAAGTAGAGCCAAAGAGGTGAGAAATGTAGGAGAGAGTGGGCTGCCATTGCAGCACAAAAGGAGAGAAATAGAGTGAGGTTGAGAGTTGAGAAAGAGGGGATGAATCGTCCTCCTCTATTGTTGTTAATTGATAAGTTTCTCAGATTTCCAATACAAGAAGGGATCCTACCAGTTAAATCATTGCTTGACAAGTCAAGGGAACTGAGAGATTGTAGTGATCCAATCTCTGGAGGTATCAAGCCAGAGAGTTTGTTACTCCATAGATAGAGAACGGAAAGGTGTTTCAGAGTTACTATAGAGGCTGGGATCAAACCAGTGAGATTATTTTCACTAAGACGCAAGGCAATGAGCCTAGTCATGTTCCCAATAGAAAAAGAAATGGAACCAGAGAATTTGTTATCAAAGAGAGAAAGAATTGATAAGTTTCTCAGATTTCCAATACAAGAAGGGATCCTACCAGTTAAATCATTGCTTGACAAGTCAAGGGAACTGAGAGATTGTAGTGATCCAATCTCTGGAGGTATCAAGCCAGAGAGTTTGTTACTCCATAGATAGAGAACGGAAAGGTGTTTCAGAGTTACTATAGAGGCTGGGATCAAACCAGTGAGATTATTTTCACTAAGACGCAAGGCAATGAGCCTAGTCATGTTCCCAATAGAAAAAGAAATGGAACCAGAGAATTTGTTATCAAAGAGAGAAAGAATTGATAAGTTTCTCAGATTTCCAATACAAGAAGGGATCCTACCAGTTAAATCATTGCTTGACAAGTCAAGGGAACTGAGAGATTGTAGTGATCCAATCTCTGGAGGTATCAAGCCAGAGAGTTTGTTACTCCATAGATAGAGAACGGAAAGGTGTTTCAGAGTTACTATAGAGGCTGGGATCAAACCAGTGAGATTATTTTCACTAAGACGCAAGGCAATGAGCCTAGTCATGTTCCCAATAGAAAAAGAAATGGAACCAGAGAATTTGTTATCAAAGAGAGAAAGAATTGATAAGTTTCTCAGATTTCCAATACAAGAAGGGATCCTACCAGTTAAATCATTGCTTGACAAGTCAAGGGAACTGAGAGATTGTAGTGATCCAATCTCTGGAGGTATCAAGCCAGAGAGTTTGTTACTCCATAGATAGAGAACGGAAAGGTGTTTCAGAGTTACTATAGAGGCTGGGATCAAACCAGTGAGATTATTTTCACTAAGACGCAAGGCAATGAGCCTAGTCATGTTCCCAATAGAAAAAGAAATGGAACCAGAGAATTTGTTATCAAAGAGAGAAAGAATTGATAAGTTTCTCAGATTTCCAATACAAGAAGGGATCCTACCAGTTAAATCATTGCTTGACAAGTCAAGGGAACTGAGAGATTGTAGTGATCCAATCTCTGGAGGTATCAAGCCAGAGAGTTTGTTACTCCATAGATAGAGAACGGAAAGGTGTTTCAGAGTTACTATAGAGGCTGGGATCAAACCAGTGAGATTATTTTCACTAAGACGCAAGGCAATGAGCCTAGTCATGTTCCCAATAGAAAAAGAAATGGAACCAGAGAATTTGTTATCAAAGAGAGAAAGAATTGATAAGTTTCTCAGATTTCCAATACAAGAAGGGATCCTACCAGTTAAATCATTGCTTGACAAGTCAAGGGAACTGAGAGATTGTAGTGATCCAATCTCTGGAGGTATCAAGCCAGAGAGTTTGTTACTCCATAGATAGAGAACGGAAAGGTGTTTCAGAGTTACTATAGAGGCTGGGATCAAACCAGTGAGATTATTTTCACTAAGACGCAAGGCAATGAGCCTAGTCATGTTCCCAATAGAAAAAGAAATGGAACCAGAGAATTTGTTATCAAAGAGAGAAAGAATTGATAAGTTTCTCAGATTTCCAATACAAGAAGGGATCCTACCAGTTAAATCATTGCTTGACAAGTCAAGGGAACTGAGAGATTGTAGTGATCCAATCTCTGGAGGTATCAAGCCAGAGAGTTTGTTACTCCATAGATAGAGAACGGAAAGGTGTTTCAGAGTTACTATAGAGGCTGGGATCAAACCAGTGAGATTATTTTCACTAAGACGCAAGGCAATGAGCCTAGTCATGTTCCCAATAGAAAAAGAAATGGAACCAGAGAATTTGTTATCAAAGAGAGAAAGAATTGATAAGTTTCTCAGATTTCCAATACAAGAAGGGATCCTACCAGTTAAATCATTGCTTGACAAGTCAAGGGAACTGAGAGATTGTAGTGATCCAATCTCTGGAGGTATCAAGCCAGAGAGTTTGTTACTCCATAGATAGAGAACGGAAAGGTGTTTCAGAGTTACTATAGAGGCTGGGATCAAACCAGTGAGATTATTTTCACTAAGACGCAAGGCAATGAGCCTAGTCATGTTCCCAATAGAAAAAGAAATGGAACCAGAGAATTTGTTATCAAAGAGAGAAAGAATTGATAAGTTTCTCAGATTTCCAATACAAGAAGGGATCCTACCAGTTAAATCATTGCTTGACAAGTCAAGGGAACTGAGAGATTGTAGTGATCCAATCTCTGGAGGTATCAAGCCAGAGAGTTTGTTACTCCATAGATAGAGAACGGAAAGGTGTTTCAGAGTTACTATAGAGGCTGGGATCAAACCAGTGAGATTATTTTCACTAAGACGCAAGGCAATGAGCCTAGTCATGTTCCCAATAGAAAAAGAAATGGAACCAGAGAATTTGTTATCAAAGAGAGAAAGAATTGATAAGTTTCTCAGATTTCCAATACAAGAAGGGATCCTACCAGTTAAATCATTGCTTGACAAGTCAAGGGAACTGAGAGATTGTAGTGATCCAATCTCTGGAGGTATCAAGCCAGAGAGTTTGTTACTCCATAGATAGAGAACGGAAAGGTGTTTCAGAGTTACTATAGAGGCTGGGATCAAACCAGTGAGATTATTTTCACTAAGACGCAAGGCAATGAGCCTAGTCATGTTCCCAATAGAAAAAGAAATGGAACCAGAGAATTTGTTATCAAAGAGAGAAAGAATTGATAAGTTTCTCAGATTTCCAATACAAGAAGGGATCCTACCAGTTAAATCATTGCTTGACAAGTCAAGGGAACTGAGAGATTGTAGTGATCCAATCTCTGGAGGTATCAAGCCAGAGAGTTTGTTACTCCATAGATAGAGAACGGAAAGGTGTTTCAGAGTTACTATAGAGGCTGGGATCAAACCAGTGAGATTATTTTCACTAAGACGCAAGGCAATGAGCCTAGTCATGTTCCCAATAGAAAAAGAAATGGAACCAGAGAATTTGTTATCAAAGAGAGAAAGAATTGATAAGTTTCTCAGATTTCCAATACAAGAAGGGATCCTACCAGTTAAATCATTGCTTGACAAGTCAAGGGAACTGAGAGATTGTAGTGATCCAATCTCTGGAGGTATCAAGCCAGAGAGTTTGTTACTCCATAGATAGAGAACGGAAAGGTGTTTCAGAGTTACTATAGAGGCTGGGATCAAACCAGTGAGATTATTTTCACTAAGACGCAAGGCAATGAGCCTAGTCATGTTCCCAATAGAAAAAGAAATGGAACCAGAGAATTTGTTATCAAAGAGAGAAAGAATTGATAAGTTTCTCAGATTTCCAATACAAGAAGGGATCCTACCAGTTAAATCATTGCTTGACAAGTCAAGGGAACTGAGAGATTGTAGTGATCCAATCTCTGGAGGTATCAAGCCAGAGAGTTTGTTACTCCATAGATAGAGAACGGAAAGGTGTTTCAGAGTTACTATAGAGGCTGGGATCAAACCGGTGAGATTATTTTCACAAAGGTACAAAAAGTTAAGACTTGTTAACAATCCTATCTCAAGTGGAATATTTCCTGTGAAATGATTATCACACAAGTCCAAATTGGTGATTTTGGTCAGGTTACTAATGTGGGATGGAATAGTTCCATAGAGTGAATTGTTCCAGAGATTGAGAGTGAGAAGATTGGAGAAGGATGAGAAGTTGAAACTGTGAAATGTACCTCTCAGACCAAAATGTGGAAGGCTGAAATCCACGACACTTCCAGAATTGTCACAAGTGATCCCAAGCCACTTGCAAGGGCTGCTGCCAACCCAAGAAGACAGGACAGATTGGCTGTGGTTGTCATCAAGACTTGCTTTCCATTTTAGGAGAGCCTCCGCTTCTTTATTACCTTCAGCAACTGCATGTTTGGCAGCACCAAATGAAGTTGCAGAGGAATTAGGATGAAAGGCAAAGAAAGAAGGAATGCACATTAGAAGGAGAAAAAAGAGGACTTGGAGAAACTTTGAGACTGGTTTCTGTAGGAAGGACATCATGTCTAAGGGATATGGTTTCCTATGGCAGATGAAGATCCTAGGCTCCAATGATAGGTTTTTGTAGAAAAAAAGAAATGGGATTTTTAATTGTGAAATTCCCTAGTCATCTTTGTTCTTATTTTACAGTGACATCAGTTTTTATTGGGTGGAAGATTTGGTATATCTTAGGAAAATTCATTTCCAAGTCCTATAATTTCTAAAGGTGCTTAATTGTTGGCTCATTTGTTCAAAATCCATAGCTCATTTCTAAACTAAATAAAAAAATAAAAATAATTAAGAAAAAAAATATTTTGTTTTTTTAAATCTTTTGCATCAGTTTTCTCTCCTTTAATATAATCGGTGAAGAAATAATGCTTAATTAATCGCGGGCTCTCTCAATTAATTGGAATTCCAAGGTAGAGGAATCTTTCATTATGAAATTTCTAAATACTCTTTGTTCTACCTTTCCAAAGCATATTGTGGGTCATCGTTCCAAATTTGAGTTGTCCAAAGATTCATGATGTAACTTTTTAACTGCCTTTAGCGAAAGAAAGCAGCTCTGGGGTTGTAACTTTTTTTATATATATTTAATATGACTGTGTTTACATCAAAAATAAAAATTCACATGGATTATATAAGAACAATACAGATAGGTAAATGAAGGTTTAATTTATCCAAAAACTTATCTGACTCATCAACAAACAAACATAGCAAGTGCGAGGTGCGAGGATGTAACTGAAAACACATAGAGAAATTAAAGGTAAAAAAGAAGTTATAACACCCTGCATGTCTTACATTGACTCGCTGACTCAAGAAATCTTCATGAGGGTGTAACTTTCTAGAATTTATAAACTGACAAGCTAGCAAAGTTCAATAGCATTAGATAATAATATAAAATTTATTTTAGGAGTTTATATAATAATTTAAATATTTTAGTTGGAATGATTATTTAATATAATATAATTAGAATTTTGATATTTGAATAATTATGAATTTTTATTTTAATATTTTTATTTTAATTAATAAAATTAAAAATAAGATAGTGTTGATTTATTTAAGTTTTAAATTTAAAAAACTTTCATTAAAAAAATTATATTAAAAAATAATATAACATTATTTTTATAAATTTATCTAATAGCTTAAGTTTTTTAAATTTAAAATTCATTAAAAAATACATAACTAGTGTTGCATCACATCAGTCAAGAAATGTCACAACTAGCTTGTCGTGTTAATTAATTGCTTAAATATAGTACGTCCACAACATTATTCCATGAAAGCCTCACCGACCAATAACCTGTTTATCGTGCCCATTGGGTTTAAACTTACTAAGGGACTAGATGCATCATGAAGTTGGAAGTTCAACAGCTAGTGAACTCCCTTGGCCCCAGATTGTGCCATGGGGTTTCAGGAAGTCATGTTCTCTTTGTTTTTTTCTTTAGTCTAGTGGACGGAACGGGTCATAGCAAATCAAAAGTTCAGAATATCAGAAATCTGTTGCTTGTCTTTATTCTCCAATTTATATAGCCCATAAATTTATCAAAACTACCTGGTCTTGATTTTGATTGCTTTGTTCTTTTCAATATATTCTGGATGATTACAAAAAATAAAATAAATGAATTTGATTGCTATTATGTCCATTTGTAATCAACCTTTTATCGTGGTCGAATGGTCAAAAGTATAGCTTTTCTTTGCTCAATGAATCCGTCGTGAATTGTCACAAACTGTCACATTGCAGGATGCGGACTCTCTGTATAATTGCTTCATGGTACATTTACGTGATCATGCAATGAAAGCTTAACCAACCAATAAACTGTTATCGTGCTCCTTAGGGTTGAATTTTCAAATGGACTGATGCATCATGAAGTTGGGATTTCTGCAGTTAGTATACTCACTTGGATTATTGGATATAGATTATGAAATGGTGTCTCATTATACAACTTGTTGCCCTGCTGCTACTTGTGGCTGATAATTTGTCAAGGCTTTGTAAACAATCTCAACTAGATTATTTTAAATCCCTGATAAGTACAATATATATATATATATATATATATATATTAATGTATTTTAAGCTTAAGTTTAGCATCTTAAGAGATATTGTAAATTAATTAATTGCTAAAAGATAATAATTTTTATATTTTATGTTTCGGATCTTACTTCTTATGATAGGTTTTTCATCGTGTTATAATTTCAGAATGAGAACATGTGCCGAATCAAATTTAAAATATACATCAATTTTTTAGAAAGGTATTATGAAAAGAAATCTAAGTTTGTTTAAACCTCTAAATAGACCTACAAGATCAGATATGCGTTTACATTCAAGACTTCAACTTTTATGAAGGATACGAAATCATATGAAATTATTTTGAAGATGAAAATCTAGACACAATTTGAAAGACGAGATTTGTCTCCTAATCTAAAGAGAAAACTAATAATGCTGAGCATCCTACTATGGTTGACAGTCTAACATAGAAATAATAGGCCTTAAGATCCAAAAAAGATGCAAATCAATCATAAAACATTTCATGAATGAGAAAATACAGCTTGAATGATTGGAGATCGTAAGAAACTAAGTCAAAAACAAAATCTAAGTTACAATAGATTCTAAATCTCAACTTCACCTAACAATAACTTGTTTATGATGCTCATTGGAGTTGAAATTACTAATGGACTGAAATCCTCAATCTAAAATACTACTTGTAACAGAATTCTTTACTTTCATACTACAGATTTAAATGAATACATCTTGAGTTTCAGACATTAAAATTATATAATTTAAAAGTTTAAAATCCTCTATACATCTAAGACTACAGCTTTTATGAAGAATACCAAGTTAGATAAAATCATTTTAAAGGCGAAAATCCCAATACAATATAAAAGATAAGATTAGTCTCTTATATGATGATAAAACTAATGATGCCTAATATTCCATTAGTATCCTACTATAGTTGAGAGTATAAAAATAAGAGGCCAATTCAAGCCTTATCTAGGGCTGCCCATAGCCTAATCTTTTATGATAGAGTGCGACATGTCAGAATGATTCATTTTGTCACTCCATTATCATTTTTTTTTATGTCAATTATCATTTTTTTTTATGCCAATTGATTGACTCATTTAGTTACCAAAAAAATTAAAAAAAATTATATTTTTTCTTTTAAAATATATTGATTCAATTATTTCTATGTTTTATTTCAGTAATTTGTCTTTTATTTAAAGAATCCTATGTAAATTCATTGATCATATTAAAGAAATAAATAGATAGATTGGTGTGGATTATCGGGAAGTCATACAAAATAGCAAGACCATATTATGAATCAAATTGAAACATAAAATGAATTTCTACGGCCTTAATGAGTTTCTCGACGAATTTTACAGGATGAATGCCTCTCTCACTGATCAATTTGATTTTGCAAGGATTCATGAAAGTAGACACTATTCAGGACGCTATATTATAAAAAACAAGGACACAAGTCAGTTTACAACCGTTATTTAAATATTCATTCAAATATTAATTAGCCGAGGACTATATATATATCGCAATAGAATTCCGAGTAGAATTTAATAATATTTATAAATCATTCATTATCCATTAAATAAAGTAATTTCTTTTTTAAAACTCACTTTGTTAATCGAGTTTGGGTTAATTTATTATATTTTAGAGGAAGTGTTTGAAAATGTAGTAGTTTTTGTTTTTGAAAAAAATTAAAAAATATGTTTGTTTAAAAAAATATTAAATTAATATGTTTTTAGTATTTTTCAATGATTTTAATATATTAATATTAAAAATTAGAAACATAGACTGAAAAAAATATTTTATTATAATTTCAACTAAAAACTATTTTTAAAAATATTATACACCATACACAAATTTTTTCTTGATTTCGAGCCATCCTAGTCTTTCTGGATGTAAGCAAACGATCTAGAAAAATGGTCTCATGGAACAGGCCCAAATCAAGCTTAGCCCAGTCTTTTATAATAGAGTGCGGCCTGTCAAAATAGCCCATTTTTCCACTCCACTATTATTTTTTTATCTTTTTTTTTTGATTGATTGACTCATTTATTTGTATATATGTTACACTGTTTTTTAATGTATTTTAAGCTTATTAAAAGTTAATTTTTATGAATTTAGCATCGTAATAGACTTTGTAAATTAATTAATTGCTAAAAGATAATAATTTTTATATTTTATGTTTTAGATCTTATTTCTTGTGATAGGTTTTTCATAGTGTTATAATTTCAGAATGAAAACGTGTGTTCAATCAAATTTAAAATACACATATCAACTTTTTAGGAAGGTATTATGGAAAAAAAATCCAAGTTTGTTTATACCTCTAATCAGACCTGCAAGATCAGATATGCGTACACATTCAAGACTTTAACTTTTATAAAGGATACGAAATCAGATAAAATCATTTTGAATATGAAAATCCAGACACATTTTGAAAGGCGAGATTGATCTCCTAATCTAATGAGAAAACTAATAGTGCCGAGTATCCTATTATGGCTGAGAGTTTAACATAAAAATAATAGGCTTTAGGATCCAAAAAAGATGCAAATCAATCTTTTAACATTCCATGAATGAGAGAATACAGCTAGAATGATTGGATATTGTAAGAAACTAAGTCAAAAACAAAATCTAAGTTACAATATAATCTAAATCTCAGCTTCACCTAACAATAACCTGTTTATGGTGCTCATTGGAGTTGAAATTACTAATGGACCCAAATCCTCAGTTTGAAATACTACTTATAATAAAATTTTCTACTTTCATACTACAGATTTAAATGAGTATATCTTGAGTTCCAGACAAAATCCTCTACATATCTAAGACTACAGCTTTTATGAAGAATATCAAGTTAAATAAAATCATTTCAAAGACGAAAATCCCAACACAATATAAAAGACGAGATTAGTCTCTTATATGATGATAAAACTAATGATGCCTAGTATCTCACTGATATCCTACTATAGTTGAGAGTCTGATATAAAAATAATGGGTCTAATTCAAGCTTTATCTAGGGCTGCTCACAGCCCAATCTCTTATGACAAAGCGCGACATGTCAAAATGACCTATTTTGTCACTCTATTATTATTTT